ACGCATCCAAGACAAAGGGAAGTCGCACCTACGAACACATTTCCACGCAGACTTTAAGACAACGTAAACGTCAAAGTTAACACATTCGTTCGATTTGCCTTCCCGCTCATGCCACGTGATCCGCAGTTAAGCGAAGAAATTTCCATCATTCCGTCATTTGGATTACTCGATTACCCACACTGGTAACAATTCTGTCTGCAGCAACATAAGCAGTGCCTGAATTCATCTGAATACGCAGGGCAGCGTAGCAACATCCTACCCTTTCAGTGAACAGCAGCCGCAACGAGCTGATAAATAAACAGCACTAACCTTCGTTTGTGCCTCCTGGCAACTCGGCAACTCCTCTTCGTCGTGACGGTTCCCGCCAAGCTGACCAACAGCACTGTCAGCACACCATATTCATGTTAAGTATTTCGCATCAGACGCGGCATGCGCAGTTGCCAGGAAAACTCTGTGTCAGCCACTGGGGGCGTGGGTGAAGCAGAACGTTTAAAACTAGCGGAGCGAAAGCTGAAAGGTGGAGGCGCTGCGATCGGAACAAGCGGAACAAGTGTTTGAACATTCCTGTTTTTGTGCTTTGGCATTGCAGGCACTTGCAGCCTCACTGTACTGTGCGTCACAAGGCAAATTGTGGTGCAGTGGCTCTGCAAACGCCACCTTCGCTGCTGCGAAAAGGCGATGTTTAAAAGCAAACGTTTCGCTTGGCGGCCGCTCATGGCTATTTCGCTGGCTTGATATACATCGAAATTGGTATATGCGAAGCGCGACCGCATGATGGACACGAATAATAGCTGGTGACATGAAAATAATGATCTGCGTGTCGTTTGCTGCATGACTTACATTCCATGCTCGTCGGCGCGCCGTTGACAGTTTCGCTAGCTTGCTATACATAAAAATTATTATTCCATGACATAACCGTATGGAAGACATCAATGACAGCTGCTAACACGAAAATGAAGTCATGCGTGTCTTTTACGGTATGACATACATGGCAGGCTCGGGGCCGTTTCACCAGTTTCGCATACATCAAAATTTTTTATTCTGCTATGTTGCTGCTGTATGACAACACCCTTGCAGTCCGCTTGCATTGCATCGATTCGCACTGTTCGTCGGTTCTAACAAAGTTTCTTGATTGGTTGGGATCGAGAAATGACCGTGTGCCGCGCGCCCTCAGAGCGCAGTGTTGAGATATTAACACCCGTATATATATATATATATATATATATATATATATATATATATATATATATATATATATATATATATATATATATATATATATATATATATATATATATAGGTATGGCATATGGCACAACGGGAGCGTTGTCAACAAGGATAAATATATTTATTTCCCAACAGTTTCGGGAGGGGTCCTCCCTTCATTAGGGGATGAGTTATACTGACATGAATTTCCAAACTTCGTTGCTGCCGCGTCCCTCTCGCCTTGAAACATTTTTGCGAGAGTGAGAGGGAACTAAAAAAAAACAAAAAAACAAAAAGGGGGAGAAAAAAAAGAAAAAGAAAGAAAAGAAAGAAAGTAAAAAAGAGGAAGAACCACTGTCAACACTGAGAACGAAACCAACTGTCCGTGTACGTTCACATACGTTTCTTATCACGTGCTGTTCAGTTCTCGACGTATGTCGGGCCACCCAAGATTGTCGCCGCGGTGCCAGGAGGGTCCGTGACGGCGTGCGTAAAGGAAGGGTTTCCCGTTAATGGGTCGGTCGGCTCTTTTTACCTTTAATCTTCGTCCGTTTCCCTTTATTCTTCGTCCGTACGAAGATCAAAGGTGAAAAGAGCGAGAAAAGTGGGTGAGAAAAATAGCTTGCCGTTAGCAGGCAAGTCACTTTTTCACCCACTTTTCTTTTTTCTTATTTATATTACAAGCGCCGCAGACAATCTTGCAAGAGGTTCCTGCGAGTTCGGTTTTTCGCTAATATGTATTCTTTGCTTCCATCGTTTAATATTCCTACAGCTTGTTGAACAGGGATATTTTTTAATGTATGATGACAACTCTAAGAATGCTTCTTAGCAGTTCATAAGTGTCAACTGCTGCGAGATAGCTTTGCAGGTACAGTCTGAGATTCTGCAGTTTCATGAGCCATTCGTGTATGTGACAAGGGCGTCTTCGCCCGAAGAGCGCCATATTTATGCTGTGCAATGGACACTTCAATGCAGCGCATGTCATGTGGAACAAGACACAAGCAAAACATATACAAGCGCAATATCTTGAAATTTTACTGGGTCCTAAGCGGAATAATAACTGGAACACACAACACCGACTCCCCCTCTTTACTGAGTTCCAGATAAGAACGATGAACATAAAGAAAACAAAATGAATGTTCCATGGCACATAAGATCCACTCATATGTCTCGTTCCTCTTAATAACAGTTGGGATCTAGATAAATTTATGTGGATCATGTTTTTAACTGGAACATATATAAAACCAGATTAATAGTGTAGTGTCAGTAGTTGAAAGACGTTCCAGGTTATGGACGTACAATTACAAGCCCCAACGTATACTTCTACCTTCTGGCATGAAGAAAGCGCTATTCAGGGAAGAAGCACCGACTTTCCTTGCTGTACTCGAAGCTGCTGCAAATACTACCCTCCATTCCTTCTTTCAAATTTGAAGAAACAGGTGTTAAGACAGCGCGACCGCTTCTCTGCTCCTTTAACAGTTGCGGGGCTGTTCACTTTTTGGAGAAACCGACGTGAGGCCGTAGCTGCTAATTGCCGCCGGCGTGCTTTGTGGCCGATACTGGGGAGAATGAGATGAGAGATTCTCGTGTTCCCATCTGAGGAGCTTTTCTTCCTCGGGGAGCACGAGTTTCTGGGGCATAGGTCACGCCCTTTCATCAATATTGAATGCGAAAGGGTAAAACTCATTTTTCCACCCACGTGGAGCTAAGTAGTGCCCGTTGCGTAGTTATTCATGATTTCGTTTGTAAGCAATTGTGTTTCATTGCATGTATTGTATCGTTATACCATTCAATGTATCATGATATCGCATGACTTCTTGTGTACACGTATTCCAACATTATCATGTATAATAGAGTAATGATGCCTTTTTTTCAACATAGTGATGTTAGTTGTGGTACACAGAAATTGTCGAAAGATATGTTCCCATCACTGGAATGTTATAAAACTTTTGTTTTTTGTACATAGTGTAAATAAAAATTTTCTAAACAAGACAGTCACTCAGCACCAGTGAGTGCCACTCGCTACTCGGCGTATTTATCAATCACTCTGAACTGTTTGATTTTTCCCTAAACGATAAAACGTCCCCGGGCCAGCGCATCCTATACGACAGAAGCCATACCATGTATCACCAAGGCAACGTAAAATTATTGGCAAGCAAGTCGAAGGAATGTTGCAGAAGGGAGTGATTCAGGAGTCCGCGAGCCCTCTGGCTACACCTGTCCTCCTCGTCAAAAAGAAAGATGGCAGTTGGTGATTTTGGGTAGATTACCGACGACTGAACAGCATTACTAACAAAGATGTGTGCCCACTACCACGTATAGACGTTTCCCGCTCCCGCGCCTTCTTACTTTTATTCTGTCAACCCGAGATCCGGCTATTGGCAAATCCAGATAGATAACGAAGACAAAAAAAAAAACAGCATTCGTAACACCCGAGTTCCTCTAGGCACAAACAGATCATTTGCATAATGTGAGAGCTTGACCATTTCCCTCAGCCACCGTATAGCAAAAGGTGCACACAAAGCATTTGGAGATACAATAAGGACACGGACCATGAAAAATACGAAAACAGACGGTGCGGCTAGCCAGACGAGGGCCTTGTTCCCAGTTTCTTTGCACAATGAAACAAAAATTGTTGACAACTTTATCGACAGGGGGGCTGCCACATCTGTTTTCGTATTTTTTTTCCTCGTTGGTGCAGCTCTTTGAATTTTATTATGATACTTTCCAGTCAGACGAGATTAAATGAATACCTCGGCTTCATAAAGTGTGTTTTTTCTTCCCATTTATACAAAAGGATACTTTTAGTCTATACACTCAAGTTATTAGCAAAGAAGCTGCACGTTACTGAAGTGTTTATTTACTTTCTGCTTAATGAGAACTGTTGCGCCGTCACGCGAGAAAGTGAAGAAAATTGGTCCCGTATCTGCATGTATTCTGCAAATGTCGTCGAAAAACGATAGTCTTGCGTGTGGACAGAGTGAACAATTTATTTGATGTTCTGCGCAAGAATATCGTAGAATGGTATTCTGGAGGCCCTGCGTTAGAGTGCCTCGAGCGTGCAGTGGAGGCGGACGAGCGCATCAAGTCACGTCACATGTGAGACATGCGCGCCACCTGGCAGTGTTCTTGGAAAACGACGTGCGGGGCTCTGAGACGGGTGTGCGCGCCCGTCTCAGAAGTGATAAGTTGTAGAATGCAAGGCGACAGGTAGGTGCCACTACCATCACGTCTTAGCAAAGCGTTGGAAACACTCACCTTTTCGTGCAAGCGTTGAATGGTCAGCGCAGCGTGATTAGCGCTACGGTCCTTAAAATTACTTATGTATGCTTTTGCTAGTGGTACATGCACATGCAGAATATATACGTGTTGTTATGGTGCACCAGAATTGCGAAATAGTTGCTTATAATTGACAATTGCACAAGTATGAACGCTAAACCTTGAGCAACATTAGTAAGCGCTGTGGATGGGGTCGGCTGTTTCAAGTACATAATGCTGTTAAGAGTGGACAAACAGACAAATGGACAGACAGACAGACAGGCAGACAGACAGACAGACAGACAGACGAAAATTTTTGCGTCGAAGGTCCCCAAGAAAGACTATCGTCGTTAAAAACAAGCTCATCACGCGATCGCCGACGGAACGTCTTTCGCAGATAACGCTGTGTATGAAGTATCCAGGAGAAATAACAGATTGTGTTCGAGGGCATGACATCTTTTTTATCACTTTATTGATATGGCTCGTATAACGCCACTTGAACAGACATTGCAGTACTCCGGCTCATATGAGTTGGTCGCACCTGATCCTCCTGCTCTGCTGCGCTCTGTCGCTACCCTAATTTACCCAGACAGCACGTAAACTTCATGTCCAAGATGCCGTCAACCAATTTACTTCTAAGCGAAGTGCTAGCAATTATCCTTGCCGTCTCACCAGTGCTATGCTTCGCAACTGACGAGAATGTTGTAAACGTTACACTCTACTACGAGGGACTTTGTTCTCCCAGCCACTTTTTCATACTGGACCAACTACATCCCACGTACATCAAGCTCCACGACTACCTGATCATCGACATCTTGCCCTTCGGTAATGCACGCATGCACGTCGTCAACGGGACCGTCACGTTTGATTGTCAGCACGGACCCGACGAGTGCTACATCAACGAAGTACAGACGTGCGCTGTAAAGTATGTCCACCCGACCCGCAGACTTCTGGATTTTGTCGCCTGCATGCTTAGCCAGGACAAGCCTACTGAAGCCGGTAAGCAGTGCGCCGAGCAGGTGGGTACCGACTGGGGAGTATTGGACAAGTGCAGCACTGGGCCAGAAGGTACGCAGCTCATGTACGAGATGGGCAAAAGGACGCGCGACCATCAGCCACCGATTGAGTACGTGCCCTGGATAGAAGTGAACGGAGCGCATAACAGGACTATTCAGCAGAAGGCGCAGATACATCTGTTTGACTTTGTCTGCGAACTTCTCGAACCCGAAGCGCCTAGGGTGTGCCGGAAGCCCGGCTCGTATTACTGCGCTCCGGAACAGTGAATAATAAAGTGACCACAAAAATCCAGAGCCCCAGAGTCTCGTGCGTACGCGTTCTCCGAATACACAACGGCAATTATCATACCATGTGTTCAAGTGCTGGGTGCTGTAAGAAAAGCAACTCCTCATTTTCTTACCAAGTGTGGCTATTGTGAAGAACGTTCGCGAGAAAAATTAAATATTAGTGTGACGTAGTCTTGTTGTCGTTAATAATCAGTATGAACAGATGAAACATGAAAGACTGCAGATTTTAAAAAAAAGATAAATATTGCTTTCGCTTTCCTTATGTATAAGTCCGCAAATCGGAGTAAAGTTAGCGCATTAGCTTGAACCAGCTACACCAAAAATGTTTGTTATTAGCTTCTGTAGCGAGGGACAGGAAACAAATCTTTATCTTCGAGAAAGTTTGTTAGGGTGAAGGTGAGAAATTCAGTGCCTGTACTGTAGTACACTCGAGCTGGGCTTCTGAAGAATAACAAAGCGCTTGCACTCAGTCACGCAATGCTTTAAACAGCGAAACTGGGAGATTCTGGAGTGTAATATGAGTAAATATGAGTTTGTTGCTAGGCTTAAGCTAGCTAATGTCCGGTTGTTTCTAGGTTGATAGTAAAAAGAAGCATGCTAGAGTTAAAGCGTATACAGTAACAGACAAGATATGGATGTCCAATGTCCAGAGAAATAAACTCAGGCTGAAAGCAAACCTTCACACCCCTCATAGATCTAAAGGTACGTTGTCATTGCCGTAAGGACCCAACGTTTTGGTTGTTTTCTCACAGCCGTCGCAACTTTACCCGTTCCCTAGCATTTTCACGTTATATGCACTCGGGATCTTCGGCTCACCACCGTTGTTTGGCCATTGCTAGGACTAACTATTGCTTATTCATATTTGGTAGACCAGTGATATATACTGCGCATTGCTCTATTTTCAAAAGACATACCCCCACTGGCTGCCATTTCTTGGGTAGCTAATGTGGTTGCTTGGCCCCGCCGTGGTGGTCAAGGGGTTAAGGTACCGGGCTGCTGACTCGCATATCGCAGGATCGAATTCTGGCAGCGGCCGCTGCATTTTCGGTGAAAGCGAAAATGATATAGGCCCGTGGGCTCAGATTTGGGTGCACGTTGAAGAACCGCAGGCGGTCGATATTTACGGAGCCCTTCACTACGGCGTCTCTCATAGTAATATCGTGGTTTAGGGACGTTAAAACCCAGGAATGAAATTACGAGAGCCCTCCACTACGGCGTCTCTCATAATCATATGGTGGTTTTGGGACCTTAAATCTCGCGTATCATCGATGTGGTTGCTTGGGCTCTATCACAAAACGAAATCAATTTTTTTTCAGTACGCTTGCACACGTTATTTTTATTGCGTGCTATCACGATGATTGCGTAGTCATAGGTGTATTCTATTATTTATCTTTGTTTTATTGTTCCTCAGATATTTGTCATATTTGTCAGATACTCCTCAAGCATGTTTGCGTGGTTCCAGCAAATGAATCTTGTAAGTCAGCGCCGCTGGTGTCTCTTTTTCTTGTCCTCCGGCACTGTTTTTATGTGAATCATTTCTTGAGCTAACTCTTTCCTTCATCATTACAGGACGAGTGATGTGTACTTGGAATTATCCCCTTCGCTTGGCACACGTGGTCTATAATTTGGCTAACTCACTCACGAGTGAGCTCATTCAGATTCAGATCGAGCTGTAAATCTGAGTACTAGGCAGAGTTATATTCTGGCAAGCTTGAGTCCCATTCAGTGCAGGTGAAAACAATTTGACTGAGTATGAGTCCGAGTAGGTCAACTTGAGGCGAATGTCCGCGAATCTGAGTCTGAGTGAGCTCTGAACATAGATCGGTAAACTCATCCATGAGTCTTCTCACTCAGATTCTGTTGAAGCCGTAAGTCAGGGTACGAGTGAGTCTGGCTGAGAAAAATTCAAGTGAGTCCATACGAGTTAGTATGGTTCAGGGACGCTTTAATCACTATCGGTTCAAATGACCCTTAAGGACGAGGTATACTTCATAAGAGAGTGTTGGTGAGCTTCACATCGTTTTGCCGACCTCTCGTTACATCTACTCAACTTTCGTATTACTATCACCCTTATGTCGGCTCACGTTTATAATAATTATATCTACTCACACATCAATGCAGTACCGTTATTATGTCAGCTGAATAACAATCGCACAAATGCGTGGATTACATGGGTGGTCAGCTTTAACCCTGAAGTCATAATTTATGTCAATCACATGTTGTGACACCCGATGGCAATGTTCGCTTGTACTACGCATTATTAGGCAAGTATAGCCAACGCGTGTGTTCGCAAAATATAAAAATTACTTTAACAGCATTTAAAAGGAGATTAAGTAACTTTACCTATATTTACAAGCGGAGGCGTGGCTGTAGGGTGGAACAGCTGCTTGCCACGCCAACGACCCTAGTTTGATCCTCACCCGGTATCGGAATTAGTTATGGAATGGAATGAAAAAAAAAACTTTATTTCAGTCCTGCAGGACGCGCTTAGCGCGTAGCGGGCGTCTCCCACGTAGGGACCGACAAGGAGTACCTGGCGGCCGCTTCGTGGGCCTGCTGGACGGCTCATTGCTGGTCGGCGAGAAGTGAGCTCCTGAGGGAGCTCTCCCACTTGCTTGAGGTAGAGTCGGGAGCAGGTGTTCTGCACTCCCAGAGCAAGTGTGCGAGTGTCGCTGTGTGTCCACATGATGGGCATGTGTCGCTGGGGTATGCATCGGGATAATAAACGTGATTAGGTATAATTTATTTCATTTGAATATTTCTCAATTTTCGGGGACAAACAAAATTATTTTTCTCTCACAACTTATCAGGGCAACATTAATGGTGCTACTTCTGCGAGATGACATATTTAACGCTGTGAAACTAATAACCGGTACCTGGTTTGTGCAATGTCGCACAAAGGCGAACTGCTCACACGATCGCCGCAAAGTACACTTGTAAAGCTTTGCCGACTGCGCTTTCTACCATAAACAAGCACCTTTCAGCTTTTCTCACTTCATAATTCTTACAGGACTCAGCAACACCACTTTGCAGATCCCCACCGCAATAAAAAGCCTCTCGAAAGAAATGCTGTTGTGATCGCATATCATGAAAACATAATGAGGGATCCCCTGTAACATTGTTATTTTCTGTCGTCAACAATTAAAACAACGACACTTGATGCGTGCTGCTAATACCGAGCATGTTAACGCGTTTTAGGCCCCTGCTTTGTACGTTGCCCTTAAGGAGCCGGACGCGGCTGTTGCCAGAAATGATCGGTCGTCCGATCATTTGTTGACCTGATCACTTCAGACCCGATGGCATTTCATATAGCAGTTCCTGCAACCTCGGTGAACAAATATATAACCCAAAACCCGGATATGTTAAGTGAAGCCTTACTAGATGGGTAAGCCGCACATTAATGAAAAACAAACCGTTTGGCTCGACTTCTAAAACATGCCATATCCGCACTAAAGTTCATATGTGCGTGTGTGTCAGTCGTAACTATCGCGTTCTCCTAATTGCCACAGCAGTACCACTGCGTTACACTGAATTTTGCTTTCCCATTTTGTACGGAGCTAGATGCAATGCCCTATTTATCGTTCAGTTGTTAACATTACTGACCAGTCTGTTCTTCAACAGCACTTATACAATAAAGACTGGTGTCAACGCAGGTATTGATTTCAAATGCCAGTAAATGCAAAAGAATGTCGTTTTCTTGGTTCCAACGTGTTAAAATTCAAATAATATATAGCAAATAAGCAACTAGAAACCCTATGCATATATAAAGACTTAGGAGTGACGATATTCAATAATCTTGACTGGTGTGCGCTGGTGACCAGCTTTATTGCATTACTTAACAAAACATTTGCCTTTTTACGGCGTCGCTTACAAAGCGCTCCACAGCACGTCAAATTACTAGCTTACAAAACACTAATACGGCCCAAACTAGAGTACGCATCAGCCTTTGGAATCCTCGCCGGATATTCCTCACAGACACCCTTGAGGCTCTTTAGAATCGTGCCATTTGTTTCATTCATTCCGCCTTTTTATACGAAATCAGCGTAACATCTTTTAAAGCAGAATCTGGCTTACAAACACTTTCCAATCGACGCTACATCGCCATTTCTTCATTATTTCATAAGCTCTACTACAGCGCGCTAAGTCAAGCACCTTATATTTTGTTACCATCACGCATCGTATTGGTCACCCCTTAAATGTTGTCCGCCCTCATGCTCGCAGAGTCACCTTCGCACATTTTTTCTTCCTCGAGCAGCCAAGGACTGGAACGACCTTGCACAAGACATCGCTAACTCAAGCCCTACTGCTTTCATTCAAGCGATCACATCAAAATATACCGTATAATAAAGTGTTCAACCTGTTGTATATATTTTAACCCGCCCCTTTTGTAATACCTCCATGTGGGGTCTTTAAGAAATAAAAGTGAAAGTGAAAGCTGTGGTGACGTCACGTGAAAAGTGCCACAAACGATTTCATTATAACTGCACGATTCACGTGCATTTTCGCAGATAACGTTTATCCGAAGTGCCTGGAACAAAGGACTGATATGGGTGAAGGGCACAAAGTACGTTTATCACAACTTTCGGTACGATCCACGAAGCGCTTATGCCGAGGTGAGGGGCAGTCCTTCCGCGCATATAAACCTCGTCGCTTGTGAGTTGACGTACCCTTCAGCGAACAGAGTTCTTGCTCAAGATGTCATCCTCTCATTGTGGCCTAAGTGTACTTTTGGCATTCGCCCTCGCCGTTTCAGCAGTGTCATGCTCCACCAATGACGAGAAAGTAGTAAATATCACGCTCTACTACGAGGGACTCTGCTCCGGTTGCCACATGTTCATTCTGGAACAACTACATCCCACGTACGTAAAACTTCAAGACTACCTCAACGTCGACATCTTGCCCTTCGGTAATGCACGCATGCACGTCGTGAACGGGACCGTCACGTTTGACTGCCAGCACGGACCCGACGAGTGCTACATCAACGAAGTACAGACGTGCGCCGTCAAGTACGTACACCCGACCCGCAGACTTCTTGACTTCGTCGCATGCATGCTCAGCCACGACAACCCCACTGGAGCTGGAAAGCCTTGTGCCGATAAGGTCGGCACGGACTGGGGTGTATTGAACAAGTGCAGCACTGGACCAGAAGGTACGCAGCTCATGTACGAGATGGGAAAAAGGACGCGCGACCATCAGCCACCGATTGAGTACGTGCCTTGGATAGAAGTGAACGGAGCACACAACTTGACCATTCAGGCGCGGGCGCAAGGAGAACTGTTCGACTTTGCGTGCGAGCTTCTTGAGCCTGAAGCCCCCAAAATCTGCAAGAAGGCCGGCTCATATTATTGCGCCGCATGACTCGGAAAAATATAGTGACTATGACCACACAAGACCTTGAGACCGTGGCACCTGAAACCACAATGCTCAGTTACTTGGACTCTGTGTTATAGTTCTTGCTGCGAAAATAAATGGCAACGTGCACGCATTTAACGCAAACGTCATGTTCTGTTAGTCAGTGCTCTTTGAGATCTGACTGAGAGGGAGACGATGACTCGGTAGAAAAGTTACTGGATTTTCCCAGTATATAACAAAACGTTATGGATAGTTATAAATAGTTAGTCAATTAACAAAAAAGTTATGAATTTTCAGCGTTCACATTTTTTGTTGATGATGGCGTCAATGTTACCATGGTATGCGTATGGTTTGTCCTATTCTATGAAAATTTCGTAACGTTAGGAAGGAATGATGTGCCACTTCTTCCTTGTTTTATGGCAGCGCATTGGCTCTACTTCACTTTCTCAACTTGGGATGCTCTCAGGTGTTACTACAGAAACTGAGAACGTCAGATTGAGTGCACGTGCAACGTTATGCATGCCTCTCACTTGGGACCAATCGTTAACACAGGCCGCAGAGCGAGCACGCTACACTGTCTGCGTAATGCCACGCAGGTAAGTGACGAGATGTGCTGAAAAGTGTGTGGACAGTGGACTCGAATCAAGTACTCTATTTTATAATGTTGACAATGAAAAAATTTAAAAAGGTTTTGAAATACAGGTCGATAGACATTTAGAAAAGCGGAGACATTGTAGCTTGACACGCCTTTTTTGCCGGGTTTCGGCGAATGTGGACTTGTAGGTGGGTATTTCCACAACTGTTGCTGAGAACGGAATCAAATGAACTGCCCACGGGTTGGCACATGACGTCATTTTCATGTCCGTGGTTTTGTCAGTTGACAGAGAATCTTAAGCAAGCATGCCGGCCATAAGTAAGCATGCTGGCTGCAGTAAGCATGTCGGCGTGTGTGTTCGCGTGCAACGTCAGCGCTACCTAATGCTATTCTACCAACGCGAAACCGTTGCTTTGGATTTTCCTACACTCTTTGTACTCTCAGTTTGCGCGTTTGAAGTTTGAATATTCCGCGTTACACATTTTTCTGAACTCTCACTCGTTTCTCGAAGTACTGGCAACAGCGAACACTATTTGAACAGAGTACATTAAAAATAGTCATACACCACTACAAAGGTGCTCCGCTACGCACACCTCGGTTGTGCGTCACCCGAGCACTCTGCGCAAAATATATTTGGCCGCCGCCCTGACTGCGAAGAATGACACCACAGCAAGTGTAGTGTAGTATGAGGAAACACGTCGCTGTTGCATCTAAGTCAGCGTTAAGGGAGCGGGCTGATAGCCAAAACATTTGGCAACGCCAAGGAAGCCTGGTCGTAGCCACTCTACACAGCTGATCTACCATAAATAAGAAACACCTTATCATATATGCACATGCGAATGAGTCTGAAGCTGCACAGTGAAGTCAAAGATTTTTTAACGACTCTGAAAGTGTTTTAGGAGCAATATTTGTTTGAGCTATATCCCATGTTCGTATGCCGAGTATGGCCTATGGTAGGGTGTAGGTAGATGCATTTGGTAGAGAAACAGTGCGTTCGTTATGAACATGAAAGAAAAAGTTGCAGATGTTCTGTAGACATTTTCTAATGAGATAAAAGCGTTTATTTTGGCTAGGTTCTTTCACTGGAGGTTCACTACATGCTAAGCCGGGCTGCGGAGCTGTGTTATGATAATGGTACTGTGTGAGAGGGCAAGTTCTGTTTACTTGCGTAATGTGGCACAATGAAATAGGGATCTACAACGTTTTAAAAGTTTCGCGGACGTCGGCGCGCTTCCACAGTGCACCGACAAATTCTTTTGAGATTTCCTCCTACCCTCGAGCCGGTACTTATCTAGTAACTGCCAACTCCAATATCCTACACCGCACCTGGTTGTTGAAGTTGTTGTTGGAACCAAACTCAAATCTTGCGGGAGTGGTGAAGTGCTTCTCGGACGATGCTTTTGAATGCTCTGCCGAGGTGGTGTAGTGGCTAAGGTACTCGGCTTCTGACCCGTGGGTTGCAGGATCAAATCCCGGCTGCAGCGGCTGCGTTTCCGATGAAGGCGGTAATGTTGTAGGCCCATGTGCCCAGATTTGGGTGCGCGTTAAAGAACGCCAGGTGGTCGAAATTTCCGGATCCCTCCACTACGGGGTCTCTAATATTCATATGGTGGTTTTGCGAAGTCAAACCCCACACATCAATCATCAACGAGACTTTTGAAATAGCGATCCTTCAAATTGTGGCTTAAGGTCAGATTTAGTTCACTATTTTTACCCCTCTATTCGTATTCAACCACCTCCATTGTTCGGACCCGTGACTCTGACTTTGTGAATGACGAGCAAACTGGTGCAAGTTCGAGAGCCCCTACTGCAACCAACACTTAAACCAGCGTCGGAATAACAGGTGCTGTCTCTTTCTCGGTCACGACACAGGCTTGACGGATACGACAGTCCTTTCAACACCTGAAAAGCAATGTTTAGAAGCTGTAATTACTTACTATCACTAAAAGTCTAAAGTGATGAATGCAATGCCAATGTAAATTTCAGCGGAATATCCATACGCAACGTTTATAACGGATTGCCACTCTGGACTTCGGTGAAGAATTATTCTCGCTGCTTCAATGTAGAAAAGGTCTAGCTCGTATTGCTGCGTATTGCTGGATCATACTCATTGACGGATTTCTGAAAGCATTGCGTATTCTTGTGGTTGGGCTCAAACTTATCAGTACTTTCCCATTGTTCTCGTCTTAGACTTCTAGAGATGATAACGAACATGTAATATCTCCAGCATCAGCAACAGGAAATCAATGCCGCAATAGATATATCTATTAACATTCTTTGACTTTTATCGACTCACGAGCCTCGTGATGTAGCGTTCACATGAGAATAAGTGCGTGATTGATTATAATACAACAATCATAATGTACAGCTATGACAGAAATAGCCCATTTGTCAATGAACACTCGCGTTTTTAATGTTTAGGTAACGTTTAAGATGTAATCTAGTTTTGGAAATTCTGGAAATAGCATTGGGTTGTCATTTTTTATGTCGCAGCAGGAGGAGGAGCAACGAAGAAGGAATGACACGGAGCTCAGCCTAATGAAGAAGAGTTCTTAGGTCGACTTTGTTTCAATGGAATCTCGTTTCACATCGCGGTGATTCATAACGAATGAAACGCGAGACATCAGAGAATGATTACAGCTCTCATGACAATTGTTTTGCCCAGTTGATTTTGACAACGTAGGCTAAGTTATATGAGCTCACATTACGGTGTTCGCGGGAACATAGCTAATTTACAAATGAACGTGGTTGCACAGGATCAAGAAATATTTAACGTTCCAGCGGCAAACTTGCGAATATGACATAATTCAATAACAAATATGCCCGAAAACGAAAGAAATATCTGACGATTCCTGCAAAGGCAAAATTTTTAGATAATTCAGTAAGAAAACTTCAATTGGTCTGCGCGTGTGAAAAAAACACGTTCTGAAGTATGCTTTATTTTCTGTAACACTTAAAGGCAATAGCCTGTCGCATACTTGGCTATAAATTTAGTTCTACGATTAAGAAACACACCACTTATAAGAAATTATGGGCCGCAGTGTGGTAAACGTGCATTAAACTACCTTGACGTTGCCTCTTTCCGCCATCTACGGAGGCTTTCCACGCCACACTTGGTGCTCGCAACGGAAACATCGTAAAGGTGCTCAAGTAAGCGTTAGCCGACTGCTTTATTCACACGTGAATAAAGCGTTCTAGGTAGGTGTCCGCCAAGGTGGATCAGTGGCTACGGTGCTCCACTGGGGTCCCGAAGTTCACCGATTCTATCTCGGCCACGGCGGTTGTATTTCGGTGGAGGCGCAGTGGTTGAGGCCCTTGCACTGTGCGATATGACTTCATTTTATAAAACACCAGTTGGTCGAAATTTCCGAAGTTTCCACTACGGCGTCTCAAATCGTCATATGGTGGTTATGGAACGTAAAACGCCAGGTAATATATCATAGGTAGGGTTTTAAGAATATAGCTTTGCGCTCTATAGTCGCAGCGTACGGCAATGACACTGATGACATCGCCGCCGCTTGGTCTTATTCTGTTATTGTGGTCTTTTTTGCCGAAACCAGTCACTTAATTGCCACCATGGCTGTTAGCCAGAAGATCGTAAGGTGAAATGCAAAAGTTGCACTGACAGCCCGTCAATACTCTCAAGGCATTTTTATCTCTAAAATTGCGTAATACTTCAAAGCCACCAAGCTCTTGGTCATGTTCTTGCTTACGAGATTTATCTACATATTTAATTAGTTAGCAGTTGTCGTAAGTGCGCCCATGCATTATTTACAAATTTACTCACTATACTCCTATTTGTGACGAATTTTTGGCGAACTGCACTCACGTGGTGACCTTTCTGGCGTGCGTTGCATATTGGTGGCTTTTAGTAGAGCAATAACCCTTGAAGTCATCAGATGAAGTATTATGTATTTATTTATTCCTAATAGCACAACCCGGCAATACGACTTTCATGCACCTCTCCTTAACAACGTACCAAAAACAAGTGCTTTCGTGTTCTCATCTCATAAAACAATACCTGATGATCCTCTACAACATTTTCATCAAACTCTGCCTCTACAGCTGAGCTTTGTAGATGACATCACTTGAACGCATCGCTAGAATGAGGTGATGTGTCGTGATAAATTTTTTACTTTTGTTGACAGTGGACACGACTGAAAGGATAACTTTGCAGTTTCTCCCAATTTTTTTTCCTCTGTTGTGTTTTCACGCAGGGTAATAACGCCGCAACGCTAGTCAGAATTCAACTGAGCTCAATGGTATAAGTTCGATTCCCAATCACAGCGACCTCATCTCTGTAGTGGTGAGAACATCGTCATGACGGACGCAGGAAGGTTGGGGTGATTTGTATTTACTTATTGTTTATTTATTTATTTACCTATTTATTTATTTGTTTTATTACTTATTTAGCAAAAATGTTAATCTCACTCGACATAAGCACATGATCACCACATTGCGAGCAAGGTAAGTCTCACCCGCAATGGTGATCTAGTCGCAGCTAAGGTTGCATTTCCGATGAAAGCGAGAGTGCTTCAGACCCGTGTGC